TTAGCTTAGCTTTCCCTTTTTTATTGAAAAAGATTTTTTTTTTTTTTAACCTGAGGTCATTGTTTGGCTTTGTTAGATCTTCCAAGCTTTCACATCTCTCGATGTGATCAATAAATTGATCATTAATCATCACAAAAGAATGAACTCATTGCTACTTACGTGATTCATGGGAATTCCTTTGTAAAACTCCGCCCTTCGATGGGTTATTCCCTCAATATGAATTTAGATATCTTCACAATGGATCGGGAAAACTCAATTATGATAATAGTATTGTACAAAATACATTGTTCCTACAAATTGATTATTGAACTACCCTAGTATTTCCTAAAATTAAATACTCAATATGCATGTTGCCCCTCTAAGCTTTGATAACCCTTGTTGTAATTTGATTCACATCATGTCTAATTGGTGAAAAATATCAATATAAAATTTAAATAATAAAGCAAAATAATAAAGAAGAAAACATCAAATTCAATGCAGAAATCCCTCCCAAATTAATGAGTGAAAAATTACGTAGAATAAAGAAAAAATCATTATTAAAAAAGAGCTACAATATTATAAGTCCAGTCTCAATCTTCTCTAAAGACTCCTAATCTCTCTCAAAAATCTTCCGTTAATCTTGTACTTTCTCTCCCATGTTTAGAAACTCTCAATAATCTCTATAAGACTGTAACATCCCCTTTAGAGAAACCATAGATCCATCAAGTAGGGAGATATATTACACAGCTAAGTAAAGAAAAATACAAAAGAAATCTATAATATCAAAATATTCAGTTTATATACTATTCTCAGGCTTAATACAGTACATATAGGTTTAAAATTATAGAGCCAAATGAAAGTTTTGGACAGATACAAATTTGCCTTATTGAAATTTGCAACATAGCTTATAGTTAGCATAGGGCCTCCACCCACAAAAATTCTTAGGAATAACAGCTACTCTTCACAAATGCTATCTGAAATGGTGGGGAAAACACCATGAGCTCATAGCCCAGTAAGTATAATTCTTAATCTCAAGTTAAGCTGCTAATTTAATCTTTAATATCTTGTGCAAAAGAATTCCTTAAATTCTTAGCTGTATGAACATTGTAGAAATTGAGGCATTTCAATCATAAATGATCACACAAACACAGCACATCATAATAGTGATAACACAAACTAAGGAGTCCATTGAATGTGCATGCACTCACATTAGGTGCTAGAGTTAGTCATAGCACTTACCTACCGCGCAAAGGTTCACTAGTTCACTGTTCTAACCCCCAAGCCTAGGTGGGGTTCAAACTCTCCATAGTTCTAAGACAATTGCATAACAACACCATATATAGGACATAATCATGCATAACAATGTTCAATGTTTACTTAATATGGTCTATAGAATTAACAGAATTAAGGTATAATGGAGTCTTCAGGTTAGATACACAAGACATAATCCAGAAAGGTGATACACATAACATTAATCTCACAAATTGAACTGTAAAGATTTCATAGTTTTAGCATAAAGGATTTCTAATTTAGCTCACTATTGTATTTATTTCTCTATTCTGTTATATAATTTAAACTGCAGCAGCCTAATTTCCTATGCTTATTCTATTGCTTTATTTATTGTTTGGCAATCTTAACTTAAAATTAAGAATCACACTTACCTACACACTTTCTTCAAAAATCTTGAACTTAATAGAATTCTTCAATATTCTCCCAATTTGCTTAACCTATCTGCACCGCCCTTTTCCTTCTCTTTTGGTCTAGCTATAGGCAAAATATATGAAAATAGCCAATTTAGTGATATGGTCCAAGAAGTCTTGATCAAGTGGGTCTTAAATGCCCTCCGTTTGGCCTACTTCTCATCTAGCCACCTGTTATTTATTTTAACAAGTTGTTGATAGTTGGACTATATTAATTTCTCCTTAAGATAGACACTAGGACTGCAGTTTATTAAATTAACATGCAATCTCCTAATTAACAAATATTATATATTTGTCCCTAATTTTAGATGAGACGAAGGTCTCTAACTTAAACTTAATTTTAGATGACTTATTCTCTTTAACTTATTCCAGATAAGGACTGGGATATCATATTCTTCCCTCCTTAAAAGACTTGGTCCCCAAACATGTTCTTACCAAAAAACTATTAAGGATACTGTGTTCTAATCTGCTTTTCTAGTACCCAAGTAGCTTATCCCTTTGTGTGGTGTTTTCAAAGAACTTTAACCATAGAAAGAACTCTGTTTCTTAACACTCTCTCCTTCCTTTCTAAAATCTGTATTGGTTCTTTAACATAACTTAAATCATCCCCAAGCTGTAAAGATTCATTCTTGATGATGTGTGAGGCATCTGGTTCATATTTTCTCAAAACTGAAATATGGAAAACATTGTGCAACTTGGACATCTTAGGCAACAATGCAATCTTGTATGCTACCTCCCCAACCCTTTCTAGAATTTCAAAGGGTCCAATAAATCTTGGTTTCAGTTTCCCTTTCATTCCAAATCTGTTTATGCCTTTTGAAGGTGAGACCTTTAAAAACACATGTTCTCCCAGTTTAAACTCCAGTGGTCTTCTTCTCTAGTCTACATAAGCCTTATGCCTATCCTGAGCTGCTTTCAATTTTTGCTGGATCAATTCACCTTTTCTATTATTTTCTAAACTATTTCAGGTCCTAACATATGACCTCCTGAATCTTATTGTAAATCTAGTGTCTTTATCTGCGATCATACTCACTGGAACACCATGAAGCTTCAGCACTTCTTTAACATAGAGCTTAGCTAAATTATCAAGTGAATCATCCACTCTTGTTGGTAAAAAGTGTGTTGATTTGGTCAGCCTATCAACAACTACCCAAATCAAATCATACTGTCTTTTAGTTTTAGGTAGTCCCCAGACAAAGTCCATAGAGATTTGCTCCCATTTCCATTCTAGAATAAGAAGAGGTTGTAACTTTCCTACTGGATTTTGATGTTCAGCTTTCACTTGCTAACAAGTCAGGCATTTGGCTACAAATTCCGCAATATTTTTCTTCACACCATGCCACCAATATTCTTTTTTCAAGTTCTAGTACATTTTGGTGCATCCAGGATGTATAGTAAATCTGGATTGATGAGCCTTTTTTAACAAATCGTCTTTTAATTTTGCATCATTAAGAATACACAATCTGTCTCCTAATCTGATCAACCCATCTGCAATCATTCTAATTCCCATATTCTTCTTCTTTTCTTCATCATTTAACCACCCTTGCAACTGTACATCACTTTGTTGAGTTTCTTTAATTCTAACCAATAGCTTCGATTGTACTATCAAACTAGCGATAATTAATCTAGGTTGCTGTTGCAGTATCCTCAAATTCATTCCACTAAAATCTTCAAGCAACTTCCGTTCTATTACTAACATTACTGCAAAGCTACCTTTACTTTTTTGGTTGAGAGCATCTGCTACAACATTACCTTTTCCTATATGATAAACAATGTTGCAATTGTAATTGTTCAAATACTCCATCCACCTTCTCTACCTCAAATTTAAATCTATTTGGTAAAACAAATATTTTAAACTCTGGTGGTCTGTAAAGATTTCAAATGCCTCACCATATAAATAATGCATCTATAGTTTAAGTGCAAATATAATGGCAGCTAATTCCAAATCATACACTGGGTAATTTTTCTCATGACTTTTAAGTTGTCTAGATCCATAAGCAATAACCTTGCCCTCTTGCATTAAAACACATCCTAACCCCTTTAAAGAAGCATCTGTGTATACAGAAAATCTATCTTTGCTGTTTGGTAGGGCTAAAATAGGAGCTGAAGTTAATCTTCTCTTTAATTCTTGGAAACTTTCTTCACACTTCTCATTCCATTTGAGTTTCTGGTTCTTCCTAGTTAGCTGAGTTAAAGGGCCAGCTATTTTCGAATAACCCTCTACAAATCTTATGTAATAACCGGCAAAACCCAGAAAACTTCTCACTTCAGTGGTTGTAGTTGGTCTCTCCCATTTCACAATAGCTTCAACCTTGCTTGGATCAACTAAAATACCTTCACCAGAAATCACGTGCCCCAAAAAATTGACTTTATTCAACCAGAATTCACATTTGTCCAGCTTAGCATATTATTTTTGCTCCCTCAATGTTTATAGCATAATGGTCAAATGTTCTTTGTATGCTTCTTCATTTGGTGAGTAAATCAAAACATCATTAATAAAAACAATAACAAATATGTCCAGGTACAGTTGAAAACTTATGTGCATCAAATCCATAAAGGCAACAGCAACATTGGTTAACCCAAAAGGCATAACTAAAAATTCATAATGGCTATACCTAGTTCTATATACTGTTTTCAACACATCTTCTGGTTTAATTCTCAGCTAGTAGTAACCTAACCTCAAGTCTATTTTAGAGAACACCTTAGCTCCTTGAAGTTGATCAAATAAGTCATCTACTCTAGGGAGTGGATACTTATTCTTAATTGTCACCTGATCAAGTTTTCTGTAATCGATACAAAGCCTTAATGACCCATCTTTCTTTTTCACAAAAAGGACTAGTGCTCCCCAAGGTGAGATGCTTAATCTGATAAAGCCCCTATCAAGCAGCTCCTATAGTTGTTTCTTCTATTCTATTAATTCTATGGGTGCCATTCTATAAGGTTGTTGAGAAATAAGAGTAGTTTCGGGAACTAGGTCTATCGTAAATTCTATCTCCCTTTTGGGGGGTAATCCTGGCAATTGCTTAGGAAATACATCTGCAAAATCCTCCACCAGACTAATTCCCTCAATAGAAATTGACTTTTCTCTATTTTCAAACACATAAGCTAAATATCCCTGACAACTCCACTGTAATTTCTGCTTGTATACTAGAAATTAACATAGGGTTAACATTTTGTTTTTCACCTTGAAAACCCAACCACAAGCTAATTTGGGACATGAAATGTGACTATTTTGTGAAAACAGTTGACCATAGCAAAATGGCTAGTTAACCAATCCATCCTCAAAAGAACATCAAATTCTTCTATCCTTAACAAAACCAAATCTACTAGCATATTTCTATCACCCAACATAACTGAACAATTCTTATAAACAATTTGAGAAAATAAAATTTCCCCAGATGGTGTGTTCACTACTAAGATATGTTTTAACTTACTAGACTTTTCATGCAAATACGGAACATATTTAGGTGCAACAAGGGGATGTGTAGATCCAAGATCTATTAAAATATATGCTAGGCCAAAAGAGATTGGCAATGTACCTCTGATAACAGTGGGATTTTGTTGTGCCTGCTATTTAGTAAGTGTATAAACCCTTCCAGTCACCTTCTATCTTTTATTTTCTGCAACCTCCTTGGCCTATTGGTTGCTTGTCTTGAAGGCTAGATAGTCCTTGATTAGGTGTCCAGTTTTACCACACTTAAAGCAAGCACCAATGGCCCAATAACACTCTTTGCCCCTATGATTTTTACCACACTATTTACAGCTCTCTGAAGTTTGCTTAAATCCTTTTGTTGCCTTTTTTTTTTCCCCTTCCATTCAGTCTTCTTTTGAATAGGTGAAGTAATCACTGCCTTTCCCTTGCTTTTCTAATCACCTCCTTCTTGTTCTTACTCATTCAGGTCTTGTTCAACAACATGTGCAGTAATTAAGACTTCATCAAAAGTTTTAAGTCTCAAAGGAACAACCTTGTACCTTATAAAAGCCTTGAAGCCCTTCTCAAATTTTCTGGTCCTCTTAGCTTTATCTTTAGTCACATGAGGTGCAAACCGGGATAAAGCACTAAATCTTGCTTGATATTCATCCACAATCATTTCTCTTTGCCTTAAGTTCATAAACTCTTGTTCTTTCCTTTCTAGAACAGCTTTTGAAAAATATCTCTAAAAGAAAAATTCAACAAATTTCTCCCAATTAACCTGTTCATCCCTCTTGGTCATCCCATCCTGTACAGCAATCCACCAATCCTTTGCTTCACCCTCTAACTGATAAATGGCTAACTCCCCCTTCTGCTAATCAATACACTTTAGAATTTTGAAAATCTTTTTTAACCTTTTTACCCAAATTTCAGCATTACTAGCATCTTTCATGCCCTTGTAGAAGGGTGGGCGCCGATTTTGAAATTGTTTTACCAAGGGTAGTTGTTCATTACCCTCAGCATTTGTGTTCACAATCATATTATTACTCTGTTGTACTTGATTCCCCATATTCTGATTATTTTGACTTTGGCTGCCTTGCTTCTGATTAACTTGATTTTGTAAAAGGCCAAACCCCCTATTTGCACCCTCCATTTATTTTTTTTTCGCGGTCAACACCTTCCAGAATTTTTCCTCCCTATTCACACCCTCAATTTTTTAAAACCAGTAAAAAACCCAACATTTTAACGCACCGTTACGGTACCGTTACAAAATGCACCACGTGGCACCCAAAAATTGACGTGGCCACTCTGTGCCGTTAGTAATCCAACGTGGAGTATTTTCTTGATGATGTGGCTTGACATGGAATTTTTTTTGTGAAAATTTCCCACCCAAAAAAAAAAAAAGAAAAAAGAAGAAATCATGGGTTCCATGGGTTCCTCGGGAGGAACCCATGGAACCCATGAGGAACCCAGATCAGGTTCCTCCGGAGGAACCCAGTTCCTCATGGGTTCCTCATGGGTTCCTCCCGAGGAACCCGAGGAGGAACCCAGATCAGGTTCCTCCGGAGGAACCCATGAGGAACCCAGTTCCTCACGAAGAGGAACCCGATCTGGGTTCCTCCAGTTCCTCACGACGAGGAACCCGATCTGGGTTCCTCCTCGGGTTCCTCGGGAGGAACTGGGTTCCTCCGGAGGAACCTGATCTGGGTTCCTCATGGGTTCCATGGGTTTCTCTCGAGGAACCCGAGCTGGGTTCCTTCGGAGGAACCCATGGAACCCATGATTTTTTCTTTTTTTGTTTTTTTGGGTGGGAAATTTTCACAAAAAAATATTCCATGTCAAGCCAGATCATCAAAAAAAGGCATCCACATTGGATTATTAACGGCGCAAAATGGCCACGTCACATTTTGTAACGGTACCGTGACGGCGCGTTAAAATGTTGGGTTTTTTACGGGTTTTGAAAAATTGAGGGTGTGAATAGGGAGGAAAAATTCTGGAAGGTGTTAACCGTGAAAAAAAAATAAATGAAGGGTGCAAATAGGGACTTTTGCCTTTCGTAAAAATACCATAAGCCGACTATTCATCTCCTGCATTTCTTTTTGCAAACTTTCCACCTTTTCCTCCAAGGACATGTTTGCTTCTGAAGTGGTAGTAGTTTCTACTATTATTTTTGTAGGTCTTCTTTGATATTGTGATGTGAGGAGTATTCAAATGTTAACTAGACATAATGCTTAGGACACACTAGACTCAATCACACATAGCAAATCTATATCTTAGCAAAGCTTTGGTTTTGATACCAATTTGTAACATCCCCTGTAGAGAAACCATAGGTCCATCAAGTAGGGAGATATATTGCACAGCTAAGTAAAGAAAAATACAAAAAAAAAAAATCTACAATATCAAAATATTCAATTTATATACTATTCTTAGGCTCAATGTAGTAAAGATAGGTTTAAAATTATAGAGCCAAATAAAAGTTTTGGGCAGATATAGATTTGCCTTACTGAAATTTGCAGCATATCGTATAGTTAGCATAAGGCCTCCACCCACAAAAATTCTTAGGAATAACAACTACTCTTCACTGCTACTATCTGAAATGGTGGGAATAACACCATGAGCTCACAGCCCAGTAAGTATAATTCTTAATCTCAGGTTAAGCTATCAATTTAATCTTTAGTACATTGTGCAGAAGAATTCCTTAAATTCTTAGTTGTATGAACATTGTAGAAATTGAGGCATTTCAATCATAAATGATCACACAAACACAGCACATCATAATAGTGATAACACAAACTATGGAGTCCACTGGATGTGCATGCACTGACATTAGGTGCTAGAGCTAGTCATAGCACTTACCTATTGCGCAAAGGTTCACTAGTTCACTGTTCTAACCCCCAAACCTGTAATCCTAACTAGCTACCCAAGAGGGGGGTGAATTGGGGCTTATCAATTTAAACTTAAAAACTTGTTTCTTTTTCTTTCAAAACTTAAATCAAGTTTGCAATTTATAAGCTGCTATGCAGAATGAACAAAGAGTAATATAGTGTAGAAAATAAAAGAGAGGGAAGAGAATATCAAGCCATGATTTATAGTGGTTCCTCCAACCCAAAATACGTCCACTTCCCAAGCCTCTTTGCTCAAGAGTTCAATCCATTAGAAATCTCTTGCTTACGAGTGCAAGATTAAACCCTCACAAGTGAATCTCAATTCACTCAACCCCTTCAAGGATTATCCCAATCCAAGAAGAATACAAAACCCTTGTAAGACAATTAACCCAAAAGCTTATAAGAAGAGAAGAAGAAGGAGATCTAGAACAGTTTCAAACTCTATTTTTTGTAACACTAGCAGTTCATCCTTCTTCATTCATAACTAGATCTGATTTTATGATCCTTTTAATAGTTGGTTTGGAGCCTTGCAATTAAAGCCCATTTAGCCCTTCAAAGCAACCTCACTAATGCTCGAATTAGATTCCACCTTATTCTACTAACTCTGAATTGACTTTGGAAAGTGCTCAGACAATTGGTTCCCCCAAGGCCCATTAAGAATAAGAATAAACGAATAGTTGAGCTATCAAAATTTAACTTTCCAGAATTTTTGCTTCGAAGCCAAAAATAATGGTTCGAACCATTTTTGGAAAGAAGAAGTTCGGGATTGGTTCGAATCAAATTAAATTGATTCGAACCCAGAACTCTGAACTAGGGGAACATGAATTAATTCTAATTGTGGGGAAAGATAAGAATCCTTGAATTAATTTTCCTGCACACTTAGCACAAAAATATATTAAACTCTTTTGAATCGTGGTTTTAAATCATCATAAAAATTACAAAGAGAACCTAACAAAGCCTAAGTGGGGTTCAAACTCTCCATAGCTCTAAGACAATTGCATAATAGCACCATATATAGCACATACTCATGCATAACAATGTTCAATGTTTACTTAATATGGTATATAGAACTAATAGAATTAGGCTATAATGGAGTGTTCAGGTTATATACATAAGACATAGTCCAGAAAAGGTGATACACAACATATTAATCTCAACAATTGAACTATAAAGATTTCACAATTTTAGCATCAGGGATTTCTAATTTAGCTCACTATCGTATTTGTTTCTCTATTCTATTATACAATTTAAACTGTAGCAGCCTAATTTCCTATCCTTATTCTATTACTTTATTTATTGTTTGGCAATCTTAACTTAAAATTAAGAATCACACTTACCTACACACTTTCTTCAAAAATCTTGAACTTGATAGAATTCTTCAA